TCTACGAATTTTCAGGCTTTTGTGAGTTCCATCCAGCTTCGACCCTTGAATCTATGCGGCGTGATTTCGGGGTCACAGTGTTCCTCTTCGGCTATCGTTTTTTTTTAAGTTATACTTGGCTTCGACAGTTCAGAGAACGGTCAGCGGCTGCTTCCCAGGCAGGGATCTCTGTTGTTGGGGTGATCTTGGGGGGGTTGTAGGACTTGTTATTTTTGCAGGTCTGCGCCGACCCCGCTTGCGACTCCAAGAATTCAGGTTAGATCGCCCTGGGGTATGTTTTTGGTATGTTTGTTTTACGAAAAAGTAAAAATAAGATGGTAAAGGTTTTTGCTTGCTACTGTGTGGATTGAATGACTAAAGAAGAGGGGTGGTCTCATGGGAGAACCGAGTCAGTGGGTCGGCACGTGGGGAAGAAACGAATAACCTCAAGGGAAGGACTTTTCGGGGAGAGCGGGGGATACCTTCAGTTTGGATCCTAAGGGGTTGATTCCAAGGGAAAGGGCCTTACCTACCGTTCTTGACCTTCAGGGACTCACGACAAGACCCGTGGTAATAGAGCGTCGGAGAGAAGGAAGAGATTCGGTAGGGAGGGTTGCCCCAGACCTAGGGGAGAGGGGTACCGCCCTAAGGGCCGAATCTAGAGTTGAAGTCCCCTCACCCCGAATCGAGAGAGGAGGGAGAGGGGAATTGACTCGAGGAGGGGACTCGCAAAGGGGAGACACCTGGGAAGTTGAGAGTGTGACAAGCGAGGGATTGGAGGCCGGGTCTTGGGTAGACCGGTGTCTCGCCGATTTCTCTGATTCGGAATTTGAGAATTATTGAGACTTTAATAACAAATATTAATTACAGGATCAGTAAGAAACATACGGCATGAGTGTGTGACTACGGCGTCACTCCGGTCCGACTCCGGGGTGAGGGTTGCCACCTCTCCTCGGGGATAACTTGTGCTTGCGGCTAGCCGCTATACTTGGAAGCGGGAGGACCTCTCGATGAAGGAGGACAGGGGGGTAGCCTACTGAGATGGTGTTCCTCCACTAGTCCATTTGATCCCGTCGGGCTCACAGGCCCCTTCTTCTTTTAGGGTAGGGGTGGTTTCTCGCAGATCCTGAACTATAAAGAGTAAGGGAAGGGGACTAAGTCTATGAGCTTGAGGGTTCTGGAGGTTGCGCCAGCCGGCATCAGTGTGGGTAGTTATGGAGGGGTAGACGTGTGGTGTTACACTTTTTTCTATGGACAGGGGACTTTGAGATAGCACTTTATGTGGAAGAAGAGTTGGATCAAGGGGAAGATCTCCTCTGTAACTGGGAGGAGGTTGTCAGTCACTCGCAATTGGAAAGAGAACAGGTGAGGAGTTACGGGTCCCCC